TTGTTTATCTCCTTCTATTCCTTCCTTCTTTTTTCTTCCTGTCCTCGCTTCCTTCGTTGCTTGCATGCTTCCTTCCTTCTTTATTTTCTATTTCATTCTTTCCTTGCTTCCTTTTTCACCTTCCTTTCCGGTTTTTGCTTCAGTTTTGCGTTGCTTCTGTTCTTTTTTTGAATTTTGGTTTCCACTAATCTGGGTTTTTTTTAACGCCGTTTAAATTCCTTTAACTAGATGTATAAAAAGAAAAAGATTCAGTTTTCATGCATGATCTTATTTGAGTTTTATTTGTTTGTTTGTTTGTTTGTTCGGCTACTCCTTAATCAAATTTTTTTTTTAACGTTCTAGCAACTTTTACCGGCTTTAATACACCAGTACCTAAGACAAAAATATCTGCTTCATAACAAAAGACAAGACTCCACTCCACTACCTTTTGTCCCTCAGTACTTCAAAAATGAACCGCATGGATTTATAAAATTATGTAAGTAAATATAAAGTCTGCGAGTTTTCATTCCCAATTGTTAATATTTAGGTTTATCTAGCTACAATTGTGAAATCGGATCCTGATAAAAAAAGATGAATGCTCTTATTCTTATGTCTCCCCAACGGTTTCACTGATAACTGCATAACTTTCATAAGAAAGTAGAATAATTCAATATAGATAAAAATGTATCCCATTGCTTTCGTAACATTTATTTATACAGTTCCAGAAGGTTGTGGAAGGAAGAAAGAAAAAAGAGTGATATTATGATAAACGAATTGTTTTCCTGCGTGCACTTTTTGATCTATACTTTTTACTATATGTACTAATATAATCAATTTATTCAGAACACAACGCATTTTTTATCTCTAGCAAAATCTTCTTACTAGCAGAAGGACTGTTGAAAAGTAGGAAGGAAGGACGTATGGACAACTAAGGTTTTTCTTTTTTTTCTTACTTGGCTAAGGTTTAATTTTGTACTTGCTTCCCAATAATTTAATTCTCATCAATTGCATACACTTTTTCATATCAATTATTCATACTCAATTATTGTTTTCCACAACACCAATATCGATTAATATAACAGTTAACTAGTTAAGACGAGACGTAAACTTAATCATGCGTTAAAGTGCAATTGATTATCTCAAGTGGTTAATCAAGTATCAAAGCGCTTTCGAAACATCAACACCCTGCCAAACTATAAATTAAAATATGGCGTGTTATCTTTGGCAACCCAAATTATCTTTCCATGCGTTATTAGTTATTGTATAGTTAGTATAGTACGCGCGCGCTGATTGGTCAAAAACTGTGCTTTATTAGTGAACGGATCTCAGTGCTGACGCCTTTTGCGCGCGCGAAGTGTTGCTAGATCCTGCAACCGTCTTTCTTTTTGCATAAATAAATTCAATACCGAAATAGAATTAATTACTGTATAATAAAACAAATACAACAGCTTTTTCCGTGCTCCGTTCAGTAATAAAGCACACAGAAAGTGGTGTAAGCACGAAAGAAGTGTAAGGAGAAGCACGAGCAGTAGGCCAGTACTTCTCACACTTCTTTAGTGATTATGGCGCTTCCTGCGTGCTTTATCACTGAACGGAGCACGGAAAAAGCTGTTTTATTTGTTAATCATTAGATATTTAGTTTATTAGCTAGTCAGGAAAGCGAGAATGACTTCTCGCAAACTTGCTCCCTTTTTCCCTCAAACTGGCTAAAGATCTTTAAATGATTGGCTAAGGAATAAAAGCGATAAATGGGTTGACCGCGGAAGCACGCACATTATTGTGATCAGAAAAAAAAGCTGGAATTGTTATTTTCTCGTGATAGAAAACAAACCACTTCTCATAAGTATCTAGAACCGGGTCGTAAAGGAGAGGTGAAAATAACATAACACTTAGCAAGCAGGTGTACAAAACATCTTGAATCGCTTGAATAAAAGATGCATATGGACGCAGTAGGAACCTTTGCTAAATTAGAAAGCACTTAATCTAACCTTTTTGATTGATATTGATAAGGATTTCGTAATTTTTACCTACTGTTTTCTATTTGTTTGTTTGTTATTCTCTTTTTTCTTTGTTTAATTCCTTCCTTCCTTCCTTTCTTCTTTCTCTTTTTGATTCGTTTATCTTTCTTGCTAGCTTGCTTTCCTATGTTTATTCAGCCTTGGTTTGCTTTAATTGGCACCTAACCTTACTTCAAATCACCACCTAATCTTCCTTGGCCTCACCTCGACTCACCATCTGGTCTCACCTTAACTCATTCCACCCCACCCCACCCCACCCCACCCCAACCCAGATTACCTCAACTCATCCAATCCCAGATGAGGTTACTACACATTATAATACCTTGACTTAACGTCACCTC